GCCATAGACATAAGCTTTATATGCTTTTTCTATATACTTCGAGGCACCAGGTGCTACTCATGAATGATGAGATGGTGGGGAGGATGAAGCGTCCCACAGGAGCATGGCCCTCCCTGCAAATGCTCAGTGATGAACCCCTCCCCACACCTCCCCCCGGCGTGATGATCAGCCTCAGGGGGAGCCCTGGTGCCCCGCCCCCAGACCCAGGAAGCACTAGTTGCTAGGTTGGGAAGTGGTGGGGAGGCTTCTGTTTTAATTCAAAGACGTTAATGGGTCTCCTGATTTGATTCAAATTTGAAGCTTCAGCCACCAAATTGGGCTGAATCTCCTTGTAATCAAATCACCAACCAAAGCTTTGCTCAGCCCTAATAACAACATATGCATTATTACAAATAGTTATTATTTTCTTTCCAGCATGCTCCCATCTTTCACTCCTCCACTTCCTAGATGTAAGTGCATCAATAAAAGTAAAAAATACCACCCAAAACTTGTAAGAAGATTAAACACTGGTTCATTGACCAGGGATGTTTTTACTACCACCAGAAGTCATCTAGCTTGCTTCTTTCAGCTTTGCACATCTTTTCCAAAAGTTAACAGGGTGCCGAAAAAAGGAACAAAAGTGAATGAAGGAAAATACCTGCTGAACACACTTCCAAGTGCAACTACTAAAATATTTGGTTATAGAATGGGGAAAGAGAGAAGCATAAGTCTCCTAAAGCTGCCAAGTGGCACTGTAGCAAAACCCCCATTTTTTTCTTTTCTCTTAAATGCATTCCCTCCCCTTCCCCAACCATTTCTGACTTTTTCTCTCCATCTCTATTCCCTATAGATAAGTGAGCTATGACATAGGATAAGCTTCAGCATTTTATTTTGGTACAAAGTTGTATTTGTTTTTTCCTCTTTCTTTATATTGTATAATTATTATGTTTATATTGATTTTTACTGTTCTATATTACTGTTTTACTGATACTATATGATTTAGGCCCACACACCTAAGTTAGCATAAGTTATGTCAAGTTTCCATTTTGTTTGTCAAGTCTCCATCTTGTCCCCATGGCCTGTTGTGTAAGTATGTTGTAACCTATGGCTCATACCTACTCCTCCTATGTAACTTGGTTGCTGAATGAATGGGGGTGAATGAGGGTGCTTGAGGGACAAAGGCAGTAGGTCTAAAAATAGCTCCCTCTGAATGACTGAACCATCAACACCAATACCTGGACCAGTGACCCGGCCCTTGGAACCACCCTCAGCATTCAAGGAATAAAAGATGAGGCAACCCAGCATTGTGCCAAGGCTGAACATGCTCAGTAAGAACACCTGGAACCCTCTGGAGCAGGACTGACATTGCCTGGACATGCCCTCCCCATAGGAGATCAGAGGTAGTCTGCCCCATAAAAGGGGTAGTGAAGACTGACTCCTTGGGATGCCCTCTCCATCTGGACCAGCACCATGCCACACCAGTTATCCACCTAGAGGCCCTGCTGGCAACACCCCTCTGAGCAACACCTACTGGATAAAGACCCCTTTCCAGCCTGGATAGGTAGCTATCATCCCCACCCTTGTCTTCAACCAAGGACTTGGACTCTGTTTCTCTTCCCTATCTGCACTTCAACCCTTCCACTGAGTCTCTTTCTCCTGCTGGCATTGTGATTGCGTGTGTGTGTGTGAGAGAGTGTGTGGGTGAGTGTGTGTGTGAATCAATAACTTCATGGGGCTGTGTAGTGTGTTGTCTGTTTAATAAACCTGTCATTTTGAAACCCGAGTTGGGCTTTTCTGTTTCCTGACTGTTTCCTCCTTGCCACCACTTATCTGCCCCCCAATCTCTCAGCTGTCTGCCTCAGTTTCCAGTCCCAAGCTCCCAGGTTTCTGCCTCTCTTTCTTTCCTGGCTGATTTGTGTGTTTGTATATGTGCAATTGTGTCACACCCTCCCATCTAACAACACCATATTGAGATCCTGACAGTTGGCCTGCCTCCCCCCCCCCACAGGACAACAGCATCTGACAAAACACAATAATTTCAAAATATTTCAATGATCTACATTTTACAAAGAGACTTTAATAGTTCTAGATGTGGTGGAATTTTCTGTGTATATTACTTCATACCTCAATTGTTGGAATAGTTTTTTTAAATAAGCAAGCACCATCATACCAATGATATTGCTACTGAGTCACTTATTCTTATATCACATTCAGAATAGCGTTGTTCATATAATAATTTTTTTCTTTCTGCTCTATTATTTATAGTGTAAAATTATGCTTACCTGACATTTAAATGTGTGAGAGAAAATTAATTATTATTTGGAAAATTGAGTGGAAAGAGTGCTTTTAAGAGGGTATATTTGTAAGTGTGATCTGTCAGTATTTGTAGGAATTTCACTTCAGCTCTTCATAAACTACTCGTATAACCATGCCATTGCCATTTGTCCTATTTTGTTGTGTGTTTTTATTTCACTGTTGCCTCCCTTTTCTACCAACTAGTCTGGAACAAAGCTCAAACATATAATGAGAAAGTTAATGGCTAGTTTCACCTCTCCCACAAACTGCAAGTCCTGTAATATGCTTCAAAACTAAGTTGAAGTGATAAATTAATATAGTTTTAACATATTTACTTACACAACATGTTCACTGGCATTCACTGCCAAAGAAAATATTTCATACACAACAACATGAACCCAGTGAAGGTCAGAGAAGGAAAGAGGCTCAAATAGGATTTTTCAGTGGTGGAACAAGACAAGAGAAAGAATATTGAGTCATACAAAACTCAGCAGAAGGGTACATGGCACAGACCCTATATCAGTGTTTCAGGGCAACGTGCAACATGAGCATGAGCCAATGGGAGCACCTGGGATAAGAAGCAATGGCAGTAAAACTTCAGGATGCACCAGGCTATCTTCACAGAGATATGCATTGAACTGGCCTCCACATTTGCATGACAAGTCATCAGCAGAAAAGCATGCCTCACTGCAGAGAAGAATGTCACAATTGTTGTAGCCATCAACATCACCATCACTGTTTGGAAGTTCACAAACCCTGGCAGCCTCTGAATCTTTGCTGACCTGGGATGAGTACACAAATAACAACTTTCTGAAAGTTAAGTCAGCTTAACTGTCAGAGCATACATATGTATGTAGAGCAGAGTTGACTTAAATGTGGTGCAAGACAATACACCTCCGAAGTCTATTATCCTGAGTCGGATTAGTTAAGTCATTTCTAAGCTAGGGATCAGAGGCTTGTGCAGGGGAGGGCTCACAAGATTGCTGCTACCATGTCAAGAAGCTATACGTGTGTATGCCCCAATGTGGCTTTACTTAAGTCAACTTAATTAAGTTGACTTAGTTAAGTCACCTTATTTGAAGTTGACTTAGCTGTGTGTATGCATCCATAGGGCACAGCAATTGCACAGTGGAAGAAGTAGTGCAAAAGGCACTCTGGGCTATCAAGAGAGTGCTGGCACCATGCTGCACCTACCTCACCAAGATGCAAGAGGCTGGCAATGCAGGGAGCGTGTTGCTAATTTTTAGGAGGCTTTACCATCTAAGGGCACTTGGTTCATGTGAAGTTATAGTGCCAGGTACTTACAGGGTCAGCGGTGATGCATCCAGGTCTGACTGCAGTACAATGTGAAGCACACATGCACATTCCAGCAGAGCTGCCCATGACACTGCTCTTTCCAAACAATGTCCTATGGAGGTCTGACACAATCTCAGCTTCAGGAAAGGTTTCCAACAGACCCCTTTGCCCCAGCCATGGCCTTTTCCAAACACAGCAACCTTGAAATGCACTCAGTCAACCTACAAATAATCATACATGGATTCAACTCCTCACAAGATCTTGCTCAGTGTCCTTGCTAAGCTTGCAGCTAAGGCCAAAGATGCTGACAGGACAGGAATAGATATTTTTACTGCAAAATTAAAATTTTAACAAGGTGGATTCATGCTGTATTTGTTATGGATAGGACTGTTTTTAAGTATAACTGCCAAAACTGTGTGGTTTAGACACACCACAAAATGACTACCAGAATAAACTCAAATTGGGCAATAGTCTGGGAAAGATTTCAAATACGCTTCTATGTGGATTCTGTCTTGTTCACAAACAAATACATCACTGATAAGTAAGTTGGCATGCAGACATGTGCTCAGCTCCACCCCTCTGGGGTAATAGACTTTGGAGTCAGTCACAGGCAGGCTCTTTGGAGCCAAGGGGGTGGTGAGGAGAAAAGCCTTCCAGGATGCTGGAGGGTGGAGCTATGCCTTGTGACACAATGTGCATCTATAGTGGCATTACACATGGTGCTAGAAATGATCACATTTCCAAGAAGTTCCTGTTGGAGTGAGGTAACATTTGTTTTAATCTCACTATATAGTACCTGCTGTAAAGTGTTTGAATGGTGCATATTCATTTTTTTCAACACACTAAAATGTCCATCTCTGTACCTGACCATGCTGAATTGTGAAGTGAAAAGGTACAGGATTTTGTCAGCCTAGAAAGAAAAATTATATATATTCATATTGAGCCTGTAAATCTATGCTAAACCAATAGTCCAGTTTGTCCTGCTTCTGTCATTTAGGAACACCCCTGATAGGGAAAAAAATAGGTCAAGTAAGTTGGGAAGCATCAAAGAACACAACAAGAAATTATACTGCTTCTAAGTTCAGCAGTTAGGCTTCTTAATAAGTCATTCAAGTGGCAATATCAAAATAAGCTACCTTCACTACTTTCCCCCAGAATTCTGGCAATCTGTAGGCTGACAGGCAAAATAATATATGTTACTTCTACATGTTTTAAAATATAGGAAAACAGCAGCAACTAATTCTAGAGAACCAATACTACTAACCATTAAAAGGCAATGTAGACAACCTTAAAGAGCTCTCATAAAAAAACCCCTAAAAACCAAAAAACCCCCCAAAAAACTCTGAATTGTCCATCTGTAAATGTTTGTGGAAAATAAAATTGCAGTCCTGACAGTCCAGATCTTGTACATTTTCCTGAGATTTCAAAACAAACCCTTTACCAGATATTTTGATGCAACTGACTAAGAGTTCCACAGACCTCTTTTTATCTTTAAAAAACAAGAAAGAAAAAAGTTATTCCACATTATGACGGGGCACCAAGTCTGCCCCATCACAGTACTTTTGGGGAGTGAAGGAAAGCAGAAAACTTACCTTAGCAACCAGTCCCAGGAGAAAAGGGGCGGGGCTACCAGGATGGGGGACAGAGAGACCCGGATGAATACATAAACAAGAGAGCAGCACAGGGAAGGGAGAGGGGAGAGACTGCTGGCTGTGAGAGACAGCAGCTGGATGGAAGGATTTAAAGGGGAAGTAACCCAAATGTAGCTGAAAAAAGAGAAGAAAGCAACCCATAAGAAACAGGGAGAAACTACAAGAAAGAGAAAAGGGAATGTAAGAAGGGTCCTGGAGAGAGACTTACCTGGGAAGTTGAAGTGAGTTAACAAAGGAGGACTTTGAGTCAGTGAATCTAATACCTGAAGACATTGAGTAACATCCCAGAGACTTAAAATTAAGAGAAAGGAATGAGTGTGGGTGAAAACTAACAAAGAGAAGAGAACCCCACAATGTTGATATCAGTAGTAAATACAAGGTGACCTAGGATTGCTATTTGCTTGGGACCCATGCGAAGGATAAAGGGGCAAGCAACCAAGAAGTTGAGAGTTCTCAAAGAGAGAGGGAACTAAATATATATAAGGTGTTATTTATCTAAGAGAGACATAATAGTTATGCAGAAGAGTTATTTTTGTTGAACCACAGATACGATACCTTCCTCATCTCTCAGGACTGTGCTTATTTCTGTATCTTATTCCATCAAAGTCATGGCAGGTGAGAAATAAAGGAAATTAACTAGTTCAGATTAAAACAAGAGATGGTGGTTTATTTTGCGGGCGTAGCTTAACTCTCATACACATTTTTACAAATCTCCAAAAAATAATATATGATTTCAGAAAAGCATCTTATGCACAAGATATGTGGACTGGCTGCCAGGTTATTACTGAATCTTTCAGGAACTCATCTTTTACCTAGTCAAATGCAAATAAAAGAGCTTGACCCATCAGTCCTTACCAGAAAACAGGTCCTATGGACTTGTACCAAACAACAATTAGGAGATGACTTTCACCAATAGCTTTGTGTTCTCTAGGGTCACAACCTTTCAGAAACTCAGGTTATTCCTTCTCTTGCCTAATACACTTGATCAAACCAGACCTCGAGAACAGATGTTAAGTGCCTCAAGACAATATTTGTCAATGCTGAGACCCTTAAGACCACTGCTCAGCTACTGCTTAACCCTTCAGATGCCTATGCTCAAAACAGTTACCATCAAAAACCAATTTAACCCCTTAGATTCTCAAAGTATGAGCTAAGCCCCAAAATGCAATTCATAATAGTTATTTCTTTGCACAGTTTGCTGATACAGCCTGACACTTCTGTTATGTTCCAAATACACCTATGATAAAACACTGCATTCACATGTTGTGAGCAACCTCTGACCAAATTTCGGGAGGGATATGAACAAAACATCTTAGACTAGGGCCCTAACCCGAGATATAAATTTTTTTTTACCCACTATTGCTACATAGAGAAAGAGCAACACTTCCATGTGGACGGACAGACACTCACTCTGGAATAATTAATAACCAGATAGCTATGGCACTTGAATGGGAAGTGTATTTTTCTATATATTCTACTATTGTTTTCTAGAAATCTGAAAAAAATTATGTCAATGATAAATTATGTTTAATTTCTTCTGATAAAAAAAATCTCTATATAAAATAAAGTGTATGTCTTTCTGTGTGTATGTATGTTCACTTATAATTGAAGAATGGCTGTTCCTATCTACTCAAAACTTTCCAAAATCAATGAATACCAGCCAGAGAAAATTATAGGTGGGTTATTTTTCACTTGACCATTTTGGTGGCTTCCATTGAGTGGGATTACTTTGCTTCTCACATAACAAACTGGTACCGCTCCATTTTGGATGCACTGAATTTTTATATTGACGCTTGCCTTTTTTTTTCAATCCATTATTATATTGACACGTATCTTTTTTCTCACTCCATGTTAAATATTAAATGTTAAATATGTCATACTATGTTCTTTAAAAATAAGCAATATTTTTGACCTACATATGTTGTATTAAGTTCTTTGAAAATAAACAAACACTGCCATTACAAAAATAACAACCCGGGAAAAGAACGGGTACTTCAGCTAGTAATACATAAATCTGTGTTTCACAGAAATCTCTTACCATAAAATCATTGTGTGGCTAAAAATAGAGGATTATATCCCAGGGCTGATTGTCCTAGCTTTGACACCCATCAAAACAGGCATCAGACATTTTTACACACATGCTACTTGAATGGCAATTAACTCAAAATAGTCCCATTTATCTGGTGGGGTGGGGGAGGACAGAGTGTTATCTTAGTGCTTCATAGGTACTTCACAGGTACTTAGGGTGGCGCTCATATGTCTGTAGGAACTTAAAAGATTTGTCCTTGGGGAAATCACTTTTTAGTCTGTAGTTTTCTACTTGCCACTAATCAGTTTCAGAACATAAAACCCGAGAAGTTGTTTTTTTCCCATCAACAATATTATCACCAACATCTTAAAATACTTTTTTGGAGGCCATCAACAAAAGCAGCTTACAATTACCAAAAACACAGCAACCTCCTCCCAGGAATTTGGCTTATTTCACACAACTAACATTGACTTAGATATAGTGTCAGAGTTTCTAGGATCAGAAGGGACCTGAGTAGATCATTAGTCTGACCCCCTGCCATGGCAGGAAAGAGTACTGGGGGTCAAACGACCCCAGCAGGGTGTACATCTAGCCTCCTCTTAAAGATCCCCAGGGTAGGAGCCAGCCCCACTTCCCTTGGAAGTTGGTTCCAGATCCTAGCCGCCCTGACCATGAAGTAGCGCCTCCTGATATCTAGTCTAAATTTACCCTCTGCCAGCTTGTGACCATTATTCCTGGTCACTCCTGGTAGC